GTGAACGAAAAAGACCTAATCATGATCGAGCTCAATAGGCTGCTGCAGGCTATTAGGGTGTGTTTTCTAATACTTTCACCGACGGGTTCTTGGCTCAGAGATTTTTTGCAGAGTTACGGTGTGTGGCCCATGGTGGATGGGGACGACAAATGGCGAGTAGAAAACTTTGATTTGACTTCGTTGATGATTTATGTTAGTGAAAAGAGAGGACTCGACGTCTTCATTGCCACTGATGTCTCGCTCGACGATAAAAACGTCTCCAGAAGGCTTATCCAGGTGAGAACAGTTAGCGAATGGGTTGCGACTGACGGATTACATTATTAACTACATGACTGATGTCACCGTGCCTTGTGTATTTCGATATCGTGTCTTCTACAACAATGAAAAATCAAACAAAGGTATCATTCTTGAAAAGTATAAAATTAAAAATAAAATGATAACAGTATAAAAACAAAAAAAGCAGAATAAAAGCCTCAGAAGCATAGACCAAGTAGAAGCCATATTGAATCCCGATGCGGCTCAATTTCCCCATTAGGAGGGGCACCTTTGTGGAATTCCCGTTGAAATTTCAGTAAAAGAGGTTAGAAGGTATGGGTACGCGACGAACTTAATTATCATGGAACACGAGGCAATGAGTGGTCTATAGGTTTGGAGCTGACCACTGCCTATGAAGTGTCATGCATTTAGGAGTCATAGTGTGTGTAGCAGAAGTGTCTGGCCATGACCATGATGCGACCTCGAGCGACGAAAGCTTTTTGTGCTGCCAACCGCTTCTATCACCTGAGCTATTCAGATGAGGTGTGAGCTCCCAGTCGTGCACTTGTCATGAGGATGCTCTATCGTCTTGTTGATTACACTCCGTCAGTGACTATGCATTACTTAAATTAGATCTTGGAGTATTCCAACATGTAAACCTTCCCAGATTGGTTATATTTTGAAAGAACTTTGCAAGGAACAAGTCAGACCTGGAATATGAACCCATGCCTTTCTAAGCTTTTCTACGTGATCAGCGACTATCAGCGTCGCATACAACATCCTTTTGACTACACTGCAACTGCTCGGTGCTGCATGAACACAAAAAGTGAGAAGTGGTAACATTTCACAGCATACCATATCGACCGTACTATTCCCCAATGTGCTGGACCTGGCAAAATGTCCTCCCAATAACGAAGCTAATAGCGCAGCTGATACTTTTCAGAAGGAAGCTTATTCACAGCATGTTACTTACCGGGACAGGTACAAGTCCATATCCGAGGTGTTTCCTTGTTTGCGAAGGTGCATGCTCTGTACACGTACATGACCAGATAAGGTCTCCTTATCCACAACTAAGGCAGTGTTCATACTTCGCGACAGCAGCCTCGGCGATCGCCGCGATCGTCGGTACATGGCAGAGCGCGCCCCAACGCTATTACTTGCGCTCCGAAGGCTTTTGGGAAGAAGCGACTCAATTTCATGCTTTTTTCCTTTAACTGCAATTTTCTTAGGTACTGAAGCTTGGTTTGACACAAAGAAAGGTGAACCCAACTTAATGGCTTTTGTTTTCTATTTTCTTTCTTGATTCAGGATAGAAATGAGCAAAAAGCGTGAGAGCTTCATTTAGGGTAGGTTTTTATTGTTTCTTTTTTTCATTCGTCGAGCTTATACATGAGGTTATAAAGTTTTCACCTGTTGATGTTGCGTAAAATGATTAGTGTTTTGGTTCCTAGGTGAGTTTCTTTCTGTTTCTTTTTTTTCTTCGTTGTTTGAACTCGACTTGTAAACTATGAATGTTTTGGAAGTTGGAACAGTTCAGACAATAGAAATTTTTTCTTACCTCTTTCTCTTATTCCAGATCCGCTTATGTTTAGAAAGTCGTAAGTTATCAGTTAGTAGCCATTATTAAGAGAAAAGAAGGTCTCACAAGTTGGATTCCTTATTTATCAAGCGAGCAGTCCATAATAGCGTTGGGGCGCGCTCTGCCACGTACCGATCGGTGCGCTACTGCCGCGAAGTGGTGAATGCTGCCTAATTGTCGTTTGTGAACCGCTCCACTATAAAGGCCGTATAGCTGTTAGGTTTGTTTCCAACACACTCCGGTATCAGGTATTCCTTGCAAACGTGTTGATACAGCTAGAGCTGAAAAGGTAACTTCGATTAATAACTGGTCGCGAATATCACTTCTGCGACATATTCAGAACCATTGAAGAGGACGACATTTGGTCATATTGAATGAATGTTCAGGTACAATTGAGAGACAAGGAAACGCTTGCCATCGGCGGCGCTGACGGGATTCTAGAGGTAGCCAGAGATAGCTGAAATTTGTGAATTTTTGTTGAGGGAGCTCAGAATTTTTCTCTTTACACTCATCGTAGGGCGTTCGGTTGTAGAGTGGTGTGGCGGCAGGCATGAATCCGAGCTGCGTGTCCATTTTTGCTGGCCGCGCTCGTACTCATTGGTGGTTCTGCTTTCCTTCATTACGTTATATGAAGTGCTGTTCTCCCGCGGATGAGGGGAGTGCCGGCGGGACGGGTTCGGAGGAGAGCTTGTACTCCACCAGCTGGTGACACTCGTTGTATCAACGACATTTTATCATCTCGTTTGTACCAGTCGTTTCACACCAACTGTTGTCGCCGCCGCGCCAAGCTCATCCCTTCTGACACGTCTCTTCATCCTTACTAGGGAAGGTCGTCAGGTCGAAGTGGCCATTTGTGATGAGATGTAGATCACTAGACGTGGTTTTGGACGCTGATCTTGAATCTGCCTTCAAAATTTGCAAAGCGATTCTCTGAACGGAGTTATGGAGCCGCGTTTACCACGCAACAGGTCATGGGATCGGATCCCTGCTGAGCTTAACTTTTTTGCTTGTTGCGCAAACGTGGCAAAAAGTGATTTTGCCGTCACTACTACTTCAGTTCTCACCTGAGCTTGTCTGAAGAAAAGTTTGCCTCCATTTATTACTGCGCTTGGACTCCTTGTAGAAGCACTGTAGTGCACTTCTACAAGGAGTCCAAGCGCAGTAATAAATGGAGGCAAACTTTCTTCAGACAAGCTCAGGTGAGAACTGAAGTAGTAGTGACGGCAAAATCACTTTTTGCCACGTTTGCGCAACAAGCAAAAAAGTTAAGCTCAGCAGGGATCCGATCCCATGACCTGTTGCGTGGCGCGGCTCCATAACTCCGTTCAGAGAATCGCTTTGCAAATTTTGAAGGCAGATTCAAGATCAGCGTCCAAAACCACGTCTAGTGATCTACATCTCATCACAAATGGCCACTTCGACCTGACGACCTTCCCTAGTTAGCAAAGGGGGCTGTAATTGGGAACAGATGCATTCCAAAGCAATGCACTTCGCAAGGTAAGGTACGTTCAACTCATCGATAATGTAATAGCACTGGTGCAATAGTCTGTGGAACTTTCTTTTCATCAACGTTTCTACACCGTGTAGGAGAGATGTTGTTAATTTCTTATGTTCGAATTATCAATAATCTTATGGAATGCTAGTTTCGCGTTGTGAGGTGACAAATGGTTCCATTAGTATCTATTGTCATGTCCCTCTTCTAACAGTTCATTTGTCGGGTCGTGTCATGGAGTGTCCGCTTAGTGGTGTCTGTCTACAACTACGTTCTAGCTGGTATTTTTATGGATTGATTTGTGAATTTTGTGAAGGTGGACCTGTTTGGAACGCTCAGCTGATTAACCCTCCTGCTCTTATGACTTTTTCAATTGTTGAGTTCTGCTCCTTTCTTTATACATATTTCCTTTATTGCTCAAGGCGAGTGTTCGAGCATATGCATGAGCGACTGAAGTAGAAGCATTAAGTAGTCTGTAATCCTACTATATATAAACGGCAACGTCTGTCTGTCTGTCTGTCTGTCTGTCTGTCTGTCTGTCTGTCTGTCTGTCTGTCTGTCCGGAAATTCGGAACTACCTGAAGAGCCAGTCTCAGGGGGCGGGTCAAGGTTGGGATGGGTAGGGCATGGGCCAAGATGTACGGAACACACATGAACTGAGCTAAGCCCCGCCCACTGTGGGCGGGGTGCGCACAGTTGTGAGCTACATTTTCAAAAATTCGTAAATCGGTTCCAAAAGAGCCCGGAGAGTGGAAAATGTGGCAAATGATAGGCAATCAGTTGGCGGACGAAATGAGTGATACAGACCCATCATGGGCGGGGCGTTCTATAGGTGGGCGGTGCTTGCCACAAAACTTTCAAAAATTCGTAACTCGGTTCCAAATGAGCCCGGAGAGTGGAAAATGTGGCAAATGATAGGCAATCAGTTGGCGGATGAACTGAATGGGGCACACTTCAAGTGGGTGGGGCGTGCTCTCACGATTTCACTTCACTGCATAGGTGAGTTACACCGGCGCTCTCCATAAAACGGAACGCTCTCCACCACAGGCTCGAGCACTTGGTGGAAGTACAAATGAGGAGTGGTTCGTGTATGGAGATGAATCAAATCATATCCACAAATGCTTTCACATCGAGTGGAGAGAACGGTAATGATGCATGAAGTCCTAGTGACTTGCGATTCCCATCTATTGAATTTCCGTACCACAGCCACTGTGCTTTACCTTTGTACATGCAAGATCCCGACTTGAGTGGGGATCGTCCGCACTGTCCATGCGCTCATCAAGCTCTCTAAGAAAAGCCCTCTTCTCGAATGACATCGGAGTGCTTTCTCTTAGTTAATTATCTCAATGGCAGTTGGCAGATAAATCCCCAAGACGGGTAGGATCAGTTCTGGCAGGATGGAATCCCGCGATAATGAGCGCTGCGTAGCGCCTTTTCCACGGAAAGTACCCTCATAGGGATTCTATGAAGCTACAACATATCGACCCGAACGCCCACCACCACGCCAGCCCACAAATGGACGACCGTACCAGATGCAGGGCACGCGCCATCTTTGTGATCATCGCAACAGGGAGGTCGTATTTGCCCGCGATGGAGGGGGGATGAAGGATATAGGCAAAAGAAGCTTCGTGAAGCGGCAGAAAAGAGGGCAAGCCTGAAAACAGTGGAAAGGGATGTCCGTCTCAGGCAGCAAATTCCCTCCGCTCTCAAGGATAATCTAGGTGCACGACAAATCGAAAGCGGATGAATGAAATCTGCACGAAGTTTTTTAACGATTTGTACTCCTCAAAGGTGTTTGTCACAAAAGTCCACTCAACTGCTGTCAGAGAACCGGTCCCAGAAGTCATGTGGGAAGAAGTCGAGCATGCAGTGAAGGGAATGAAGTCTGGAAAAAGTCCAGGAAGTGACAACATTCGACCTGAACACCTAAAAGCAGGCGGAATAAACCTATTCAAAGCGCTGGCAGAACGTTTCACCAGATATTTCATTGAAAGAAAA